TGTAACGGACATTACTCGGTTTTTCGTCATTTCCTTGCCTTCAGTATCTTTTATGAGTATCAAATTCTACAAACCGTCTTTCTCATTATCACAGAAATTACCTCTTTCTATTTCTGATTCAAAATATTAAAAATGCAATTCACAGAAAGGTACGCCATGATTTGTCATGAATGGTTTCACATTTTTGTTATATGTTTTTCCTTTTAAAATGTCACTTCTCTTGATCTTGTGCTTAGTGTTGAAGAAATGTCCTTTTTTTTCGAGCTGTAATTCAGCGAATCTTCAGTCACACACCAGCACATAGGTACTACTATATGTACTAGTTGATATACACAGCTGGCAGACTTGATCCTTCTGCAAATTTCCCAAACTCAAAACCTCATACAAATGATAATACTGACAGTTTAGATATTTCTCAGTGTACCGCCATACAAAAATAAGTAAATGCATACAAATGAGAGCACCATATACCAATGGTGACTAAGTCAAACATTGGTTACTGCTGTTTGTAGACTCCAGTTAAACCAATTTATATCCCGATGAAATAAATTTCCAGTTGGATATTTATAAAAAAATAAAATTATGGATTAAATGCTGGTGTTGATTTACAATGTTTTGTTCCAGTCGATTTATGACCCTTTTTAAATGTGTAGTTAAACGCCATTTATTTTTTTGAATCTGAGAGTAATCCAAATTCTTCTTATGTTTTAACTCTTTCGATCACAGTAATATCCTTTCGATTCCATTCATTCAGTAATACCACCTTCCATCTTACCAGAAAACTGTCTAAGTCTCATGCACAGTTTTCGGCCCATATAATCCAAGGCCTTCTGTTTTCCCGTCTATTGTACTCTGTAAATAAGTTTGTTTTTCTTGATGGCGATGTGGGGGGGGGTACTTTTTCCTGACGGTCTCGGTGGGTACTGACTCATTTATCCTGATGAGGATCTTCTGGTGCACCTTTTGTGATGTGGGGTTTCTTGTGCACTTTTTTTTTCTAATTTTGGAGTACTGGTACAGTTTTCCTGATGAAGGGCGCGTTTTTTTTTATGGTGGGTTGTCGTGTTTCCTCGCTTTTTCTCTATCAAAGAATCATACGTTCTCTCATTTATTTTCATTGTTTCTTGCTCTTCTTTCTTTTTCCTTCCTCGTCTGTCACGCTCTCTTTCCTTCCCAGTTTTCTTTTTTCCTATGTCCGTTGTGGTGTAATAGGTAGTGGCTGGGAATTAGGAGTCGGTAAGCCGAGTTCGAACATCAGTCCGATTCGTTACAACGACGTAAGTGCAAATATCCTTGGGAAAGTTATGAATCCATCTCCTCCTTCCAAATACGGGTTAAATAGTAGAACTTGTAAACATCATTCTACACACAAAAAAAAATTGTTAATTCACTCGCAGTAAATGAATTATTCTTACAATTTATAATGTATTTTGAATCAAGTTAATTGAAAAGGGTTGATAATCATTAAAAATCAAATCAATCATTTAATCAACCTATTATTGTCTTTATTGCTCTTCTATTTTCTGTTTTGTTTTCTTGTTCTTCTTTTTTTTTCTCATCTTTTCCGCTGATTTTCCCGCTCTTTTTTCTTCTTTCGGTGTGTCTTTCTCTTCTTCCATTCTCCTTCGTCGTTGTGCGTTCCTCTTATTTTTTTCCTTCCTTGCTTTCCTGTCTTCATATTGCTTTCCTTTTTCGTTTTCTAATCTTATTTCACGTGTCTTCTTTCTTTTCTTCGTTTTCCAATTCTTGTTTCAGTTTCTCTTATTTTCTTTCATTGTCCATATCACCATTTTCTTTTTTTTTCCTTCGGTTTTTACCTTTTTTTATTTCCCTTCTCCATATTTCGCTTAAATCCTTACAGTCCTGCGCTTTCATGGTATTTCCCTGCCATTTCGACACTATTCCCACTTATTCTCTCTCCTTCCTCACTTTCAAGCTTTTTTTCTCCTTTCTTTCCTCCTATTCCCACTTATTTCTTCTCCTTACCGCTTATTCCCTATCCTTCTTCCCTTTCTAGATCTTTTTCTTACCTTCCGCATTTTCTCCTTTATTCCCTATCCCTCTTTCAAGCTCTTTACCTTCTCTTTCTCACATTTCCGCTTATTCCATCTCCTTCCTCGTTTTCTAGCTCTTTTCTTTTCATTACTCATTTCCACGTTCTTTTTTCTCCCCTTTCTCACCTACTCGCTCTTTTTTCTTGTTCTTTTCTTGTCTATTTTTTTTTTTATTTCTTCTTGCCTTTTCTTCACTGTTTCCCCGCTCTTCATTTATTTCTCGTCTGTCGCTTTCGTCTTTTTGCTTTTTGACTATATCACTTAATCTTAAGCCCCATTGTTTCTCCTAAAGTTTTGGTCTGTCCAGATCGCCCAACAAAGGAGTCAGTTCTATTTTCATCCTCTACCCGTCTTTTACTGTCAAACAAATCCTCTGTAACAGCCGGGCAATGTCAGCCAAATTAATGCCAGATTTTGTTCACTCTGCTTTCTTTCTTCGTCGTTAAACGACCCTCCAACTCGCTAGTTCGGTTAATGAATCCTATCGGCGATTCCAATTAATATATAGCCTGAGTATCTTTGGAGATTCTGGAAGATGTTTATGGAAAACCGATTTGCACAAGGCTTTAAACCATGAGATAGAAAGGAAAATACCGGTTACCTATGATTTACTATTTGCGTGTGTGGTGGGGATGGCACAAATAAAAATATAACAATGGCTACATTCAAAATTACAATGATAAGTAAAGATATGTGTAACAATTACTTGTACATAAATATTTATAATTATAGAACAATTTTTTGAATGCTATCGAAGTTTATCAGAATTCGATGAAGAATCCATATTCTGTAAGCAATCAAATATGACAATGGATTCAAAAAATATGTCTTTTATTCTGCTTCTCGGTGTGGGAGCAAAGAGGAGCTTGGGTGTGTATTTAATTCCAAACAGCGTATTTGCTTTGAGGGAAACCAAACTGAAAATGACAAGGATTCTCAGCCGTGTCAAGATCCAGGTAGCTTGACACCAGCCTTTAGAAATTTCCATATAGTTGGTTCTTTAAAGATTCATCATCCACGGCTGTAAGTAACTGAGCTCTACATATCTGGCAGGAGCATTCATTCCACTCGAGTCTCATTTCTTTCTTCCCTCGAGTCAAGTTGTGAGGTCTCATATTTTTTTTTATTAATGTTATAATTTATAAAACTTCGGCAAGTGGTGGATGACAAAATATAAATTTGGTATCTATCTATCTATCTATCTATCTATCTATCTATCTATCTATCTATCTATCTATCTATCTATCTTAATCCACCCTCCAATATATATATATATATATATATATATATATATATATTCCCCACATCGTATCTTTCGATTTCCTCTTCTTGCTATCTATCAATTTATCTATCCTATTCTCTTCTCTCTCTCTCTCTCTCTCTCTCTCTCTCTCTCTCTCTCTATATATATATATATATATATATATATATATATATATATAATTAATTATTTTAAAAATTATAACACATAAATATGTCATAAAATCACTACAAAAATAGCCATTTTGTTTCAACACCCTCGGTGTCTTATCAAGTGGTGATGTTGAATGTAAAATAAATGGTTTTAAAAGTTTCAATTAATTAACAATCCTTCACAAGGGGAAAACGTTGTTACAAAAGCTAGATTGACCAATCAAAATACAAGTATTGAGCACTCTTTTAAGAATAGTAATTGTTGGTTATTGGAATTCATTCCATATACACCAATCATATACTTGATATATATATATATATATATATATATATATATATATATATATATATTTTTGAACAATAAAAATTTTAAAAAGTAATTAAAAATTTAAACGTTAAAATTTTTATGCAAACTGGGTTGTTTATAAATATTTTTGTTTTATTATTTCAATTAGGTTTCTCGAATAGTTTTGGCCAGCATCGCCATCATCAGAAATAAAAACCTCTCTGTTAGTAGCAGTGAACTGTAGGAGTGAATGACTGTTTCGGAAAAAAGTGAACTTTATCTAGTTTTCATTGGTTTTTTCGTTAATTTTGATCTGTCTTTGTGTTGCTCAAACGGCCCCTTTGTAGTTGTTTTAAAGATTCCTAAGAATTCCCTCGTTTGTCAATTTGACAGTTTTATTGGTTGCTGCGAATGTGATGTGTGTGTTAAGTGTATGTTAATTTTAGTTCTTTGGGAGTGTGTGCGATGTGTATATATTTGTGTGAGTGTGTATATAAGTGTGAGATCTCAACTCCTCGGCAAGTTGGCTGTCTTGTGTTGATGAGAAATGTGGGTAGGGCATGGTTTATGGGGTTATATATTAATTCAATCTATGTTGTTAAATTTGTGGTTAAACCCGGCTGGGCGAAGTGTTTTAAGGCGCAAAATCTATTTTCTTCATGTTTCTCTAGTGTATTCTAAGGTCATCTTTTCTGGCTATTTCTATTTTTTTTCAATTATAGTGACTTTTGCATGGATTTTAATATCATGTTTTTATAGACGAAAATTGTTTCTGGTATAGTGTACATTCTAATAGGTAATTGTGGTAGATTTTGAAAGTAGATTTAGTGACTTAGCTAATGAAAGAATTGGTGGTATATCTAATGTGGTTGCAACATAAGCTCCTTTTGTTGTTACATGGTTGGGAAAATCCTGTTGTTTTTGTTTTTGGTCTATTACGGGCAACCTTATTATCTGAAATTTGGTTACTACCTATAATTTCCTTAATGTTCTTAGGTCTACGATATGCTAGAAAAGTCGGGTTCCTCAAAGAAAGTTTTTTTGTGTCTCATTTGAGATGTAGTATTTCCTAGCGACATTTTATTATATGAGATTGTGAATGAAGAATGGTGTTGAAAATGGCTACTAGAGGGATGCGTCTGGATTTATTTTTTATTTCATATATTAGGGTGTCTTGATAGGTGTGGAAATTTATTTATTTATATGTTCCAAAATTTGGAGTTTTTTTTTTCATAGCCGCGTGTTGTGAATTGATGTTCGAGATTTTGAGTTCTTCATTGTTAGAAAATATCCTTCTGAGTCAATGTGCTTGTGAATAGGGAAGGTTCTCCGTAAGATGTTTTGGGTGGGAAGACTTAAAGTGTAGATAGCAGTGGGTGTCGCTGAGTTTAGTGTGTAGTGACATTTGTAGTTTCCTGTTTTTATCGATGTAGAGGCGGGAGTCTAAAAAAAAAAAAATATAGATCTTGTTGATTTTTAGTGGTCAAACATAATGGAGTCGTGTACCGTGTTTATGGTCAGAAGAAATTCAATGAGTTTCTCCTCACTACCATTGTGCATAAAGGAGATATCTTGCATAGAATATGCCGTCGTTACCGATGAAGGGGTAAGTATGGCTCTCCTCAAATTTTCCCATGAAGCTTGTGGCATATGATGGAACTACAGAGGTAACCATGGCATATATCCTCTTACTTGTAGGCAATGTTTCCCATTGAAATCGAAAGTATTCAATGTAAGAATATGTTCCATAAGTTTTATGATTACTTCTGTGGGGGGGTGTTTGTTCTTTTACTAAGTTCTTCTTTAAGGGCGGCTAGTCCTTCAATGTATTTGATGTTTGTATAGAGCGATCTTACGTCCATGGTTATAAGAGTAGCATTTTCTGGCACTGTATGTATATAATTAATTGTTTTTAGTATGTCCCTTGTGTTTCTGTTGTAGGATTTTACTTCCTTACGTAGGGGCTGTATGTAATGGTCTTGGTATTAGGATATTTTTGTCGTTTGGCAGTTAAATGGCGAAATGACCGGCCTTTGTGGGTTGTTGTTTTCTGTATTTTGGGAAGGAGATAGAAGCAGCCAGGTGTGATGGTTGTGGGTGTTATTGTTGTGCATGTTTCCCAACAAATCAGTTTGTTTTAAAACATCATGTTTAGCGGGCTTGATAATCTTATTCAGGAAGAGGGTTTTGGGTAGGATTTTTTAATTGTTCCTGTCGACTAGCTGATTGTTGGCCTCTTTACGATATACTTTGATTTCCCAGATCACTGTGGCACCAACTTTTCCGATCATGTTTGTATACGTTGACCCCAAAATACGGGAACTTTTAAAACCAATAGTGATGAAAGAAAATTATTTTATTTTTATTCATAGTAATTGAAACCTTAAAACATGCCATTTAAGAAACAATGATGTAATTGTCATTTTTTTAAAATTACGTACTGTAGATGGCGTCCTCCTGTACGAATGCATTCTTGAAATCTGCTGTTGAGAATCCTCATTGACTGCTGCAACATCTCAGATCACTGTCTCGCAGTGTTGCCACTTGCTCATGACTGGCAATACGCACTTAAAAAAATTCCCGTTTTTTTGGCTCAACCTGTATTTGCAAGCATGACGAAGTTCTTTCGTAAAAGATTGGAAGGTTGCATCAGGTCCCCACTTACCCACTTTTTAGTGTCTTGGATGGGAGCTTACCCTTCCTTTTGAAGGTTGAGTGCGTTCACTGTTAATTTTCTACTAGGGGCTAATCCGGGTGGTCTGGGATATTTGGCTGCTCTGCTTTGGTTTGTGTATTTTCAAAGCACCTTGAGGATGGCCGCGTAAGTTTTTAGTTTGTTTTGTGCGTGTCTTCGTTTTGAGTTTCTACACCTCATTGATGGTGGTGGTGTTGATATTATAGATTGTGGTGCTGATTGTTGTCTGTTGGTGTGTGTGTGTGTGTGGTTTGTTTTGTGTTAGCATTTCTTGTGCTGTAGTCAGTGTAGTTGCGGTGTGTTGTTGTCTTTTAAAAATATGATTCCATCTCATGTTTCAAAATATAATTTAGGCTCTGCTTATGTATTGAGAACTGTTTTATTTTTTCAAAATAAAAAAAAATTACTTAAGAAATTCCGATTATTAACCTAACGATTCTTTCCTATTTTTCCTTATATTTGCATACACACGCACACGCACACACACACGCACACATACACACACACACACACACACATATATATATATATATATATATATATATTGAAAAGAAATGTTAGACCACCTACTTTGCCAATCATTTAACTTAATAGTTTTACTATGTAGGGGTTCAAACAGCGTAGTGAAATCATACAAAATCTATCCATCTATCTCCGCCTAATAGTGTGCACCAAGGATGAAAAAAGAGCAGTTTTCTGAATTTGCAGACAATATATTACCCCACAATGATAAATCACCGGGTTCGTCATTATCATTTCTCGAGCTTGCTGAAACTTTTCGACAGTAGTGGAGGTTGACGTGTGCCAGGCTTGTTCGTCGAATTTTAAACTTCTCGATCGACTTGCACACACTTCTACGCAGTAGTGTACTGTCACTATATTGTGTCAAAAGACTCCGATGAATTCCAGACACTGACAAACCTTCCGACCAGAGAAATCGGATCATTGCTCTTTGTTCCTCATTGGGACTCACAGTTAGTGGAGCGGCTATGTTTACACCGAAACAGCAGCAAGAAACCTTGAGCGATCAAGCTCAATGTTCGATCACGTGA